TACAAGATAATTGCGATAACACCAAAATCTGCAAACAAGGTTTGCATGATTTTGAAATTTTCTCAAACCTTTTACAAAAATTGATGAACGGTGAAATATTCATTCAGATCTCACACAGGTCACACAGATCCAACACTGTATATTACGCGGAAGATTAATAATTTATATTAGAATTAAAAAAGTGAAATATGATATTTTCTGATGTTTGCTGTATGCATGATGTAAAAGGGAACAGTGCATATTCGTGCGGTTGGAGAGCTAAACGGTAGCGTTTCGATTAAAATTCTAATTAAAGGGGCAAGTGCACGGAAAAGAAGCGCGCCCGTGACGCGCATTTGCGTCACACTGGGAGTCGCGTCGTGCCGCGTCGTCGCGTCGCCACCCGATGAAGGCTCCGAAAGCAATTATTCCCGCGGGGTATCACTAAGATAGAAAGATAGCCAAAACAGCGAGCAGGATCGTTAAGCGATCTTGTGAGTCGCGACGAGTCGTTGCCTTGTTCCTCAAGGTTTCCCACAGGTTCCTCCGAAAGTCGTTACGCCAACAAAAACTGTTATTCTCTCTTACGAGAATTTATTACTCCCTTCTTCTTCTTCTTCTTCTTTTCCTTCTTCTTCTTCTTCTATCTATGGCGGTATATTACCCGGGAACCACGCAGTTTCATTAAAACTTTACGCGGATGTGAACTTTCGAGATGTGATATTGCCAAGATGCAGCAGCCTTCGTCTTCGAAACACTCAGAATACATTCCCGTGACGATTAATATTATTAACGTGGCGAGCCGCACAGCAACGTCGAATATAATATCCCCCTAGGTAGAAAACTCGTAGAATTTAAAATATTTAATCTCCTTTGTGAGTGTTAGCTCTCAACCGAAAATGGTTTTTGCGTGTCCGCTGCGACGAATGGAACTCGTTTTCAGCTCGCGATCATAAAAAAGGGAAACAGAAAAAAAGAGAAACATCCCCTCGCCAACGTGTAATTTCACGCGTTTTGTGTTTAATAGTCCCATAGAGTGCTGCTTTTAACGAGTCCCAGTGTTTACCTTTTCTGCGGATACATAAATTTCTTCGCAACGCTCGCGAAATATCCTTAGACACGCGACGGCAATTTTGATACTTTTATAAACTATTAATATAATATGATTCATTGATCAAAGAAGATTAATACATAATTGTGCGCGACAAGGCGTCAATTTCTTTTAATTAATAATTAGGAATAATTAGGAATTTACGTGGTCATTTGCAAAATGATGGAGAACTCTTTTTTTCAGTCTGATGCATTTAAGTTTAATCCGATGTCAGTACAGTTTGATCCATGTGTCATGAATTGTCATGCATCCTGTTGTTCTAAACAAACGAAGAATGCACAACAAAGGAATAATTAAAGGAACACTTTTTAATAAAGAAGAAGCATCTTTTAGTAGAGAAAATAAACCGTCGAATTTTTTTTCACGACTCACTTTACATATCCCAGATGAACACAAGTTCGTTTCAGCTCTCCCCGAGCCGTCAGACGAATTTACTCTCACGTCTCGCTCGTTTCGATATTTTGCAAAGTGCGCGCGGGCGTTTCGGCGGATAGGGTCGCCGGAGCTCGGAGTTTGTCAAGATTTAATGGGCTCGGCGGGTGTCACCCCGGGGCGACGTTTCATTTTCACGAGCGGGTTCACGGGCCGATCGGATCGGCGCGCAGACGCGATTTTACAGCGCGGCGTTAACCCACCGCTGCGATTTCGTGATCTCGGTGTTACTTGGCGGATTACCTCGCCAAGTCGCGTTTACCTTGCGCGTTTACCTTCCGGTCGCGTCATCCTATTTTCCTGCGGGGCTCATTACTTCTCTTAAGCTCGGCGCTCGCGGCCGTCGGTTTTGTAAACACCACGTCCCCGGATTACCGGGACAATTTCGGGGCTTAAACGTGGCCGAATGCCGTACCGGAGGCACCACTAAATATGTACGGCACGACGAAGCCGTGTAATCGATCGTAATTAACGATCGCATGCTATATTGGTCCTACGAAAGCTGCGGGTAAACGTCGCGTGAGAAGACAATAATCGTGCACACAGACTTGAGTCGGAAAATACTTTAATTTACAGTAAAAAAAGGGGGATAAAAAATCCTAGAAAAATTTATTTTCTTCGAAATCATCAAAAGTTCTTTCATCCGAAGCGCGTATGCAATTGTTTCATCGACTTCAGAAGAAGAAGATTCTCAATTATCCTCAGTTCTCTCAGTTTATCGTGTATGTGTGTTTCTTTCTTCGTATGTTCCTTCATAACTTTCGGGAATTGTTAGAAATATTGGAATAAAACTTTTTTTTAACTTGTTTAGTGTGTCATCTGCATGAAAATTAATTCTACATTGCTCTCTTAAAAATCCAAGAACATCTAGAGATACCAAATGAGTAATGAAAAAGTTATGGAGTCAATCAGTGAGATTTTCACGTCGACTATTGTTAGAATGTTAGAATAGAATTGCAGGTACGTAGAAATGTTGGATAAAAATTATTTTATGCCTCTCAGGGTTTTTGAGGTTTTTGAAGGCGGATTATTTTCCGGGATGTTTACTGTGTAACTCGTAACGTAACGCACGTCCATTTCACCGTCCTTCGAATTTTCCCCGTCGGCAACTGAAGGCCGTTGTCGAAGGACAACGGCCGAACGGTCGTTAAAATACTCGAACGAAGGGCGATCCGCGAAACGATTCATGTTCATCCGGAGGCCAATCGCGACTCTAATTGCGCCGCCTGGCCGATTTATCGTTCGCGTACGTATTTTGCGTCGCCACGCAGCACCGCAACGGAAATGCAGCTGGTCGCGGGTTAATTTGCCCAACCCCTCGTTCCAACCCTTTGGCCAGCTTCCTCCGGCTCGGCCCTCGATCGCGGGAGCCCGACATTTCAGATGGGATTCGGTTAACGTGCGGCTCACGAGGTAATGGACAGATGCCTGACCTGAAAGCGCTCGCGAGCTCACCCCCAAGTCGTCCCAGTCTCGTAATTACGCTCCTCCAAATCCACTTTGCGTCGTTTATCCAGCAGATCATGGTGGATACTTCCGAACGTGCTGCAAAACCCGACGTCACGACTCGCATTTCTATGGCACTCAGGTCCGCCACGGTACATTAGCAACGGCACATTAACCCATTAAGGCCCAAGAGAAAACCGCTAAGGATAGGCCTTCAAAAACCATCTAAATTAGGGCAAAACGTCGAAATTTGTTAAAAGGTGAAAAAAAAATTTGTGTTGAATTTCAAAATTCAAAATGGCGGACCAATATGTCGGCCCGAAAATTTGAAATTTTGACCTATTCGAGTGAAAATCCATATAGGGGGGATTGGGGTTCGCTGAGTATGAATATGCACTTATTTTTTCAAAATTCGTAATGGCGGATCCAATATGGCCGCCAAAAAATGCGAAAATTTGACATAGTTTTGTTATTTGGCGAAAAATTCAACCAAATTATAAGCTACCTTTCGAAGATGTTTGTTTTGGAGCAAAACATCATGCTTTAGCAGACTGTAGAAGAAAAGTGGGTTTTTGACTTTAAAGATCAATATAGCGACCAAAAATTTTTAATTTTGATTTATTTCAATGAAAGTACGTTTTGAAAATTTTTGAAAAAATAAGTGCATATTTATACTCAGCGAACCCAAAACCTCCTCTATACGGATTTTCACTCAAATAGGTCAAAATTTCAAAAAGCCTATCCTTAGCGGTTTTCTCTTGGGCCTTAATAGATTAAGAACGTTTAGATTACTATGACGACGGACTTACTCTGTTATCATATTATATATATTTCTATTTCTTGTCACACATAATTGTTAAAATAATGTGTATAATTTTGAGGGAAATACGCAATAAATATATTTATACAATAGTCAATATTTATTATTAAATTAATATATAAATAATATATAATTTATATGACACAAACATATTAATCCTGTCATTATACAAATTATATTTGGCATTTCATACATTCTGCATATAAAAACATATTGACATCATTCTCGCTCATCTCATAGTCATTACCGCCGTCATTAAAAATGCAACGTCGCGCAATTATTGCGGTGCAACGGTTAGCCGCGAATTCCCTTCGATAATACACTTATGATTATTCTTCAAGAACGCTTTGGGGGACACCAAATATAATCGCAACCGATCACGGCCAGCCTCTGCACAGGATACGTGTTGAGCGCAGTTCTCGAGCAGTTTTCGAAAAGTTGCGAAGAGTTTCGCGTCGGAAAGTTCCCTACACTGTTAATGGCGTGTTCGCGCAACATTTTAACAAACGAGCTGACGGCGGAATAGCTTTCCCGGTCCGGCTTCGAATTTGGCTAATGAACTTCTCGAAATCCCCTTTTGCCTTTCACGCGATATTTCGCGTTTATTTTTACGCTCTGTTGATCGTTTCTGATTTAGCTTCTGATTTCTCGCCGACAGAAAAAAAAGTTTCATCGGATTCAGCAAATCCGCGGTGAAATATGAACGGACCAGAAATTCGAGTTAAATTTACTAAAACTCTGTTCAATTTAACAAGGTCTCTGGTTAATTGAACAGAACAGAATTCTGGTAATTTCAACCGGATTTCTTTGCTTCGTTCATGTTTCATCAAATATTTGACCAATATAACCAAATGTTTGGCTGCAAATTAACTAATCGCGAACATTCACACTTGGAGGAAGAGGAGGGAAGAGAGGACAGCTCTGAATTAACTTTTGACCCTTCGATTTACCGCAGATGATCGCACCGTCTCGCGGACGCTCCGGCTTACGTGGACGAGGCGCGACTTCTTGAACACTCCGGGCTCGAGATGCGGTGACTCGTGCGGCGGGCCAGGCTACGAAATCGCGGGAAGAATCCGACGGGAAGTCGCAAATGGCTGAGGATCGATACTACGACGCGAAACAGAGTGAAAATTCCCGAGTCCGAGGGACCTACGTTCGCGAGCGAGCGACGAGCGGCGAGCGACGACCGGTCGACTTTCCGCGAGATCGATGCTTGTAGACTTCGAGGTGCGCTGCGGCATTTCGGTCCCTAGGAACGTGCCATCAAGAGCGGAGGAAACCCGCGGAGACGACGACAAGAAGGAAAACGATGACGACCGCCTGAACAGCCGGCGTCAGCATTCGCGCGGAACATCACGAGGACACCAGCCCGCAAAAATGAGCTTCTTTAACTCCCTGCAGGAATACGTGACGAACAGTGTGAAGAGATTCTCGTTTAGCCGCGAGGACTCGGCCACCAGCGGCACCGGAAGGAGCAGCTCCACCGGAAGCGTCACCTCGACCACCAACACTGGCGCCGCTGTGTCCCAGCAAACCACGCCGCATGGTTTTCCCAAGGTACGTGATTAGGTGTTGAAGGTGCCGTAAAACGCGCGG